AGTGTGAGGTCCTGTGTGCCCTGGCCCCGGGAGGATGGTTGCAGAGGGCCTGTGTGCCGTGGCCCCGGGAGGATGGTTGCAGAGGGCCTGTGTGCCGTGGCCCCGGGAGGATGGTTGCAGAGGGCCTGCTGAGGAGGGACACTTGGAGCTGGGCCCAGTCGGTCCTGCCAGTGGCGGGTTGGAAGCTGGGAAGGGAGCAGAGTGGCAGGTCCGGTGGTTCTAGCAGGTGCGCTGGAGCACGGTCCTGACTGAGGGCAGAGCGGGCCTACAGAGCGGGGGGACGCCGTGTGTGTGTGTGTGGGGGGGGGCAGCCCACGACCCAGGAGGAATGGCCTGGATGGTCGAGGGCAGAGCGCGTCTGTGCGAATGACAGGCTGTTAGGAGTTCACATTTCAAACAGCACCTTGTTCCCTGCGGGCCTTTGTGTCAGTACGTGTGTGCCTCTCTGCGTGTGCGTGTGTGCGTGCACGTGTGTGTTCTGGGAGGAACCAGCACTGGGGGCAGGGCAGTGAGACGGGGTGCAGGCTGCAGCCACTTGGGGCGGTCGCTGTGCACAGATGCCTCCGGGCCCTTGGCCAGTGCAGGGGAGGGGGTTCAGGGGAGGGAGCTTGCTCCGGGCACCAGGAGCCAAAGGGCCGGGGGGGCTGGCTCCCACCCGCCTCCGGCAGGCCCCCCACCTGCCTCCGGCAGGCCCAGTTACACAGGCAGAGGTGCCGTGGGGAAGCCTGGAGGTGTGCTGGCTCTGGCTGTGAGGGTTTTCAGCTCTGCTTGGTGTTTCCCCACCTGCTTTTAAAACATGGGAGGCGGGGGTCAGGGTGGGGAGAGAAGGAGGAAAGGTGAGGGGAAGCCGGACTGCTGTTTGGCATTTAGATCCAGAGTCTGCTTTAGGATGTGGTTGCAGCTGACTCTGGGCTTGCTGAGCGAGCCGCCCTGTGGGGGCCGCGTTCCTGGCATCGCTGGGCTGTGTCCTCCCACCAGGAGGGACCTGGCGAGGCAGCGGGCCCCGGGCCTGAGGATCGGCCTTGACTGGAGAGGCCTGTGGCCTG